TCCTTCTGGACAAATTCCAGACAGATTTTCACCTCATTTTCCCACTTAAGGTACATGAAAATCTCTCCCAGTACATGACCACTTTCTTCATTTCTCTTACATCTCACTTTGGTGGAGGTCACATGAGCCTGAGAATTCCTATTCCATTCTAGGCTGGAGGAGGCTCATCTGCCTTATCATGCACAGCAGGTCAGAGCTGCTGCTGAATAAACTGAAGAAAACAGTAATGACTGCAATCAACGTGTTACATTTTTAATAGGCCCTTTAGAAAATGAAAAAAAAAAAACAAAACTGTATTTCTAACTTTTATTGGATGGAGAATTGCAATCCAAAAATAAACTTTATGTGCTGTGTTAGGAATGAGCAGGACTCTAGGATAACAAGAAGTTTTAGGGTATCCAGGTTTTAGGGTGGCTTCAGGAATTAAAGAGACGTGGACAATGAATTTAAGGTGTTAACAGACTTTCAAGCACTTCAGTGAACGGGAGGGGTTTAGAACAGGGTCATAAAACCAACCTGAGCTCAGACTTGCAGTGAGGGCTGAGAGCTGCCAGGCTCTGGACTCAGGCTATGGAAGAAGCAGCTGCTCCCAGATCCACGTGGCTGAGGAGCTGGTGAACTACAGAGCTTGCCTGTGCTACTCGCTGTCACGGGATTCAGGGAAGGAAAGTACTCAGCACTCTGGGTGCTGACCAACCTGAGAGAACCAGGAGGGGCCGCACTGAGAGAGACCAGGACCACAGAGCTGACCTGACTCTGTGAGCTAAAGATTCTCAGTTCTGTTCTCACTGCTCCTGAGGGGCAGAGGCCAAGAACAGGACCAGAAAATGTCTCCAGGCTGGATTTGACTTACTCAGCTTTGGATGGGTTTAGAAAAATGAAAAGTCTGATTTACACAAATAAATAGGCAGGTTGCTTATTTGATGTTTGCGTACAATACATTAACTACTAACTTAATATTAAATTAAATTAGTCTAGTGGTTTTAGTGGCTTATGTCACATATTATTTTAAATTTTTGCAAATTGTAATTGAACCATGAAAGCTTAGATTTGACACATAACCTCCTAATCTTGCCCTACTGCAAATTGTGAAGAACATGAATCTCTCAAGGGCCACCCTCAGCCCCTGTGGCCCAAGCAGTGACCACAGTCATTGAGGAGGGCTTTGTAAACTTCAGGGTAACAGATCCGCAATTGCAGCTCCTTTTCCCCACCCGCCTGCCCCTCCTCTAAGTAACTCCTTCAGTGTTTCTCCTCTGCATCGCTGAGCAGAATCAGTATCTGTGGGATCTGTCACCTACACCTCTGAATACATGAGGCCACTTCACTCGTTTCACTCACAGCTGGCCACATTCAGAGTTGCGGTCCTTGTTGTCTTACCCATGCTGCTTCATGACTGATCCAGTGGCCTCATGGGAAGTTCCTCATACTCTGATGAGTTACCAGACATGAAATAAAACAGAAAATACTAAGAAACAAGCAAATGGAGAAGACATGGCCCATCATGAACAGACCTTGTGAGCTTGGAGAGCTGGGCAGAGAGGTCCCTGCCTTAGTGGATCCCTGATGGGAAAGTATCACTTCTACAGTCCTTGTGTTCCTAGGATGAGGCCTGATTTGTGTTTTATAGTAGGGCTGTTCGCCATCTAATGGAACATTTTAACACAACTCCCTTTTGGTTTGTGGTCACAAAATCTTGGCTTGGCTTATAGGGGCTGGGGATTTAGCTCAGTGGCATAAGCACCTGCCTTGCAAGTGTGTGGTCATGAGTTCAATCCCCGGTACCGATAAAAAGAAAAAGACAAAAAAATAAAATAAAAATAAAAAGACCAAAAGAAAAATCTTGGCTGTGTCTTTTGAGCCATATTCATGAAGCGACTCTAGTCTATCAATTACCTGGAAAGGTTCTGTAGAAATCTCACGTGAGTCCCTTCCTAAAATATAGATTTCACAAAGAGCACACTGCCCTGAGAACCTTTAAGGACGGAGTGACATGAATATTTGAAGGGCTGAAAGGTCATGCTCTAGATCTGCTAACCTAGCACCATTTACTTCCATTGTTTGACATCATTTAAGAGCAGCCTGCGAGAACTGAGACCCCACATGGCTTGCACACCCAGCAGTTTGTGTTGGCTGCAGCTCTGACAACTTAGACAAGGAAACGTCCCAGAAGCACAGAGCTCCAGCCACTGACACTCCACCTCTCTCTCCCCAGTGTCCTCCTTGGGTGCTGAAGAAAGGAATGCAGCTTGCCTTGGAACCCAGGCACATTCCTGCCCCCACCAACATCTTCAGTGAAGGGCACTCAGGATCACCACATCCATGTCTCAAAGCTTGCATTTCTCAGCAAGGACTGACTTAAGTTTTTATTGAAAATGTGATCTTGGACAACAGAAGAGCTCAACTGCAGTTAAGGAACACAGCTGTCCTAGACTGGTCAGGAGCTTAGTTTCAGATCCATTGCTGATTCTGTAACAAGTGTTGTTCATAGTATCACAAACATTAACTCATTCCAGGAATCTTCCAAGAGGATTGATGTTGAAACAGAAAGATCAGGCAATAATGCATAAGGCTCACACACAGTGGAGCCCTCTCAGGGCAACAAATACTTTGCTCTAGATAGTTGTGGTCAAGTTTAAGATTGAAATAAAGCTGTTATCTCTAACTACTCTTTATATTTTAGCATTTTGTTAAATGATGGGTTTTTAAGTCTATATAGCTGAGCTAATTGTGTATATCTGTACCTTTGGTTCTTTTGTAATAAAAGCTTCTGGTTAAACTACAGTAATTCTTTCAGCAATAATGACAGAAATGTTTTCCTTTCTACTGCACTCAATGATTACTTGTATCTGTTTTTTGTTTTGTTTTGTTGTGTTTTTGCATTTAGGTAGAGCTTCCTCATTGAATACATATATTTCCCTTGAAATAATATTAATAAAAGAAACTGGTAATGCATCCTTATCGTATTTACTACTTATTAAGAGGTTTTCTGCCAGGTGATAAACACAATTATAGATATATTGTTGACAGAAAAATAGTTTCTGAGTCACAGCTCAAGAGATACCTTCTAAGTTTGTACTGTAACCAGCATGAGATTGAGAAAGAAAAGAAAGAAAACAAAAGTAGATCCATACTTGCTCAATCCTTCCCTGCCAGAAAGAAAAAAAAATACCCTCCAAGTTATAATAATATAATTTCCCTCTTTCACTTCTTGCTGTGCTTCATCATTACCTTGTAATGTACAGAGGACACTTGGATTAAGGACTGAGTAGAGAAATGCTGTCAGGTCACCTTCATCCCACACAGCTCTCAGGTGTTCTCCCAGAGGGGAGGACGGTATAAGCTGTGTTCACAGCACAGTAACACTTTTAAAAAACAAGTTTTGACTCCTTTGAATTATTCTGACAGTGATATATCCAGAGGTAATGGAGGAAACGAAACAAAACAGCTGAAGAGTGAAGAGAATATGTAGGACACCAGGCCTATTGAAATTAAGGTTGGTTAGGTTTCTGCTGTGTAATAACACTGTGAGTGAAATGTGTACTTGAACAACACTGACCAAAATAATTTCCTTAGATGTTTTAGGTATGTGCTTTTTTGTTTATAACTGGTTTTCCCATGGGCCATGTATGTGTTAGGCACTAGAAATTGGCGAGTGAAACTGAGGAAATAAGGTTTTCACTTTAATTTATTTTATTTAGTAAAGTGTCATTGGCATTTTCCATGGGAGCCACCTTAGTTTTGAATAGAGATGGTGTCTGTTTTAGACAGTGATAATTTTAGATAGTAATAATGAATAATATCACTAGGAAAATAAGCCTGCTTATCATTACGAAGAGTTTGTTCCACACCACCACACCGAGCTGGGATGTACTACAGCTGAAGCAGACACAGCACATGGATGGATCTTTGAAATCTTTTCTGAATTCTGCTGCAAGGGAGGAAATAGACACAAATTCACTGTGTGAGACGCTCAATGCAAAGCTGGAAATCGGAGCCAAATTTTTACACATAGAATATAGATGTAAACACAAAACACAAACAGATTCCAGAATTTGTGACGTCCCATCCTGTGCTGATTGATGAAGTGGGTGGTAGATGCTGGACACACTGGATGAGGTCTCAGCCTCAGACTCCTGTGACCTGTGAGACCTGCCACATGGGTGTTTCCACACTCCCCTGTCTCAGCCAGAGCCAGAGCATTCAGATCCAAAGGAAAAGAGGCACACACCCAGGGTCCAGTGCTACACCTGCCTCAGGTTGATGCCTGTCTGGAAATAGTAACCAAGCTCTGCTGAAGGCTTGTGATAGGCAGGGACATCAGACAGCAGGCAGAGTAGCAGCAAAGTGGTGCATGGAGGAAAGTCCAGTTCCTGAAGAGGGGGCAATGTCTTTGTTATGGGTGTGAGCCTGGACCATGTGTCTGGTGAAATATTTTATGATAATTTCCATCCAGAGAGAAAAAAAAAGACACAAATATCTGATTCTTGCAGCACTGGTGTTTGCAGGTCCCATGGTTGATTCCTTGGTCTGTGTAGCTTATATTCTGTCCTCTGGTCATATGCTGTCCCTTTAACATTCAGGGCACATGCTGGGTAATCACAGAGCCTTCTCTCAAAACCATGAATAAACAGTCTCACATTTTCATCTCCAGATATTGTATCCATTGCCTGAGTTCTTTGTTATTTAATCTATCAAAAAGTGCTCACTAGAGACACAGTATAATAAAAATTATATGAATTTACAAGTATGTACAAGGTGGCTTTTCCATGGCTGCCTGCTCAGTCAGGTATGGAAGAGCCAGCTGGGCTGTCCTTGTGCTAGGAAGTTGAAGCACTCAGGCAGTGTTTTAAGGTTTGGAGCTCACTGCTGAGTCCGTGACAGTCTGAGTCAGGAGGCTCAATGACCTTCCTCAGAAGGCTGAAGAGTCCATGCTGGAAGCCAGGAGACGACCTCAGAGGTCAAGGTGCACCCTGGGGCTCCTTACAAGGACCAGAAGGGAAACTTCATTCTTCATTTCGCTCCAGATGACTGAAGCGCATTATCATTTCCTTTTCATCCTACCATATCTACCATCCTGTGTGTGGCTGTGACTCTCACTTAGGGTCGGTTTTCTTTTTCAGTAAAATGCTTCAGCCATGCCCCAAGCTGTATCCTAGGCCAGTCGGGGGTCTCTTCTACAAGACGACACGATCAGGTAACTATTACAGTTAACAATTTCAGACTCTACTGAATTTTATTTACATCAATACTGTATCCTACAGAATTTCTTCTGTACTACTAGAATATCTGTCCTTGTCATGGAAAATGGCTTATTTATTCATGAAAACTTATTCTTCTCATGAAGGCTGACACTTGCTTCTGGAAACTTAAGCACTGCGTGAAAAATTGCTAATTGCAGATATATTGTGTTCTTTTTGCTGGAAAAATTATAATACATGCCACTCTACTGAATTAAACTGTTTCAGGTTGAACAGTTTAGTTAAAAACCTGTTTATCAGAGTAAGAACAATTTTTTGAAAATTAAGTAAATGTGCAAATCTCTGTAAAAAACAAAAGTGCAACAATGAGACTTTATTGCACTAAAAGCCAAAGAAGTCACAGTGAGTAGCGTTTAATGAAGAGGGTGGAAACCATGTGATTGGATCTGGATCACAGCTGAGTGAAGGAGTGGCTGTGACCCAGCACTTCCCACAGCACTGCAGTTAAAAATGGTGAAGATATACAGCTTAATAAAACTCACAAAGTGTCATGCACCATTCTACCCCAGAGGAGGGTGACCTGTGGCTAGACCATGAATAGGTATAAACAGAAGGGAGAGAAAAACATGAAAATATGTTATAAAAAAGGCAAAAATGGTAAATCATTATACAGGTAACGAAAATCAGAAAGTATAGAGAAAAGTAATATAAAAGGTTTCATCTCATCCTACCTAAGCAAAAGAAAAGTAATTTTTAATGATAAGATTTGTTCTGGAACTAAAATTATAGTTTTCCATTTAGCCAGTATCAACCTATGAAAATTATTTGAACCTTCAATAGCATGTGAAAAACAGAAAGCACTACCAAAATTATTTGAAATTTTGAGAAATGCCAAGCTAAGAAAATATCCAAAAGAGTAAAATCAAAGATGTGCAACAAGAGTGACAAAATGTAAAAGAAATTTTAACCCATCTATGTGGCTGTATATTTAATGAGTGAGTAATGTAATATCATATCAAATTTTTGTTTAAAACTGATAAAATATATGTATAATTTTTAAAAATGCTTGTGAAATGTATACTATGAGATTTATTTTGTTATTAATGTTCTTGAAGCATATTTTTCCTCTTCATTTCTCTTCTAATTTTTACAAAAACCTCAATTTTTCTGCCTTCTTACTTGCCACAAAATCAGAGTATGTAGAAAGTTCATAGCTTTCATATATTCCATGACACTTATGTAAATTCTCATTTTATATACTGATAAACTACAAAAGAAAAGAAAGTACACATTGTAGTAAAAGACACACAATTCCTAATTGTCACAGCTGAGATGAGCTTGTGGAAGTTCTTCTTCATAAAGCTCTACTGCTTGAACTAGTGTGAAGACAATCTTCTGAAATTGATGGTGAATTTAACCAGCATGCTTAGAAAAATGTTCAGTTACACTAAAGTACACTGTTTTTAACTGAAAAGCTCATTTAATTTAGACACACAGAAACATACTACTAAATACTTTCTGAATAAAAGTGTAAAATGCTACTATAAAATTAAAAACCTGTGGGAACCAGTGCCATGCACAAACCAGCATCAAATGGGAACAGAGAGACCTCAACCTCTCCCCAGGAGTCAGCACCATTTGCAGACCAAGGTTAGAGACAACAAAGCCACACCAGCAAGCAAACCGGTCTGGGAACCAGCACCATGCGTGAGCTGCCACCAAATGTGAACAGACAGATCTCAGCCCCTTCCTGCATGCAGGCTGGCAAACAAGAACACCAACGAACTAACTACTATCCTGCTCACCCTCACCATAAGCCACTGGCTTATCTGGGGAAACACGTTGTGATGATAGCAATGGAGAAGAAATGAAACTGGATGTCTGTGGTGTTTTGGTGTTTCACTGACATGGCAGGTCTAGGGCCAGTGGTTTGATCACAGGTTCAGAGGATAGAGGTACACTGTGTGACATCCGAGGGGTCTCCTTCTGAGGGTTGCAGCCATTGTTGATTCTCTATGGGCCTGTTTTGGAAATCCTATTCTTCTATTGGGTTGGGTTTTATTCTCTTTTGTTTTATTTGATTATGTCAAAACTGATGGCAGGCCAACTCTTTCAAAGACAGGAAGGTGAATTTTGGTATTCATTTTGGATTTAATTGCTTCTTGTGAAATCCTTTATTGCATTAATTATTTGATTTCTATTGTATTCAGTTCTGTTTGATCTTGTCTATATAGAAAGTTATCTACAGTTAGTCTGAAGACATCAAAAGGCATTATGGTAACTATCGTTGATTTCATAGTGTTTTGAAGTTCTTTATCTCTTACACTGGCTTGTTTTGACTGTGTTTTTTTTTCTGTTTTATCTTATTTAGAATAAAAATAAATTAATGAATAGATCTAGCAGTTGAGCTAGTATATATAAAAAATAAATTGGAATTTAATCACAGCCAAAGCACTAAGCAATGATGAGAAAAACCAATCTGCAAATGCACCATTTCTTAAGGAACTAATATTTGTGGTCATGAAATGCAAACTGGCACAACAAGAATCGATTAATACCAGGAAAGAAAATTTGAGGAATTGTTTCTGTTCAGAAAGTCAAAACATAATGAGTTAATCTCACGTGTACAAGATGAAAGTTTGTGCTTGGCTGTTGTAGTACGTTATGTTATCAGACATTATATGTATATCCTTCAAGGTATCCACTCTTGTGAATCTGACCTGACACCATTGCCAGGGAAACTATTCCTAACCGTAACTCTGCATCTGAGTATGAGGACAAATCCAGGAATCAGGCAACATTTTACTAGCAAGTTACTTTTCAGAATAAAAAGATTTCTTGCCACAATGAGGCAGAGACATTTAAACTCAGCAGTAACCACAGCAGCTGTCCTAATAGGAAGCAGCGGCTATGAACAAAATTATGACAAAGTCTCTGGAGGTTTTTGTTTCACATTGGATCCCTCGGGACACCACTTGTAATACTGATAACAGTGATGAACTGTAAGACATGCAAGCTGCAGGCTGCTGCTGATGAAAATAAAGTCTCTCCAGGACACACTGCCACTGAATCAGTCTGAATAGCAACAGCTCTACTGGACACTTTATGGATAAGGAGCCTGGGAGCCTGCCCAGGTTTCTGATGGTACCAGGTCAGGGAGCTACTAAAATGCTCATGGTCCCTGCATGTGGCTGATTCTCCTGGAGACACAACCAGGGAAGCTGGAGCCTGAGTAGCAGTGTTTCTCCAGTCAAATCTGAGAATGAAAAATAAAATAGGAATGTCACCCATGTAATCTAAGTCATATCAATTGTGTTCTCAGTAGAGCTAAGCTGATTAGTGTACACTGAACTTTAATTGCGGTTCTTATTGAAAAGAGAATCTAGTACTGCACATAGAAGCTAACTCTGAGAGTCTACACAGACTCTGCAAACTCTGAGCAGCCAGAAGCACACAATTCCCTCTCTGTCCCTGTGGACCAGCCTGTGCCCTGAGATCATAGCTAATAACTCTGCAGAACAGCAGGGGAACAGGTCTGCAGTCACAGCCCCTCTCCCCGCCCACCTGCCCCTCCTCTAAGTGACTCCTCTGTATCTCTGACAAGAGTCCAGTTCTGCGGGATCTGTCACCTCCACCTCACTAGTGTTTCATGAGGTCAATTCAATAGTGTTTCCCTCATGGCTGGCTGCATTCACAGTTGCATCCCTTCCTCTTTCAACCATCATGCTTCATTGCTGACCCAGAGGCCTGCTGGGAAGCTCACCACAGTCAGGTGCATTATCAGTCACTAAATGAAACAGGAAACACTGAAGAACAGGCAGATGGGCAAAGCCTGGCACAAGTTTCACAGAGGACTCCAGCAATGTGAATTTAGAGAACTGAAAAGAAAGCTCCCTGCCTTAGTTGCTCCCTAATGGGAAAGCATCACTTCTAAATTCCTAGTGTTTGTAGTTCTAGGCCTCAGTTTTCTTTATTGTGGGGCTGTTCACCCTCAAATGGAGGATCTTTAACATAACAACCTATTCATTTTGATACCCAAAGGTCTTGACTGAATCTTTTCAACTATATTGATGAAGATGATTCTATTCTATCAATTACCAGACAAGATTCTGTAGAAAATCGAATGATCCCTGCTAATTAATCATGCTAATATTAACGACTATAGAACAATAGTTCACCTAGAGTTCTAAAAACATAATGATCATAGAAGATTGAACATAACATGTGTAAGCCACATTATATGACATGGGTTTAGTTTTGGGCAATGGCCACAAGTGCCTGAAGACCCTGCAGGAAATGTCTATAGACTAAAGAATCCTGGCATAGATCTACTAAGGCCAGCCCATCCTTCCTATCCCAGAGCTCTGTTAAGAGTAGCCTGAGAGAACCCAGCAGCTCCCCTGCTCACATCTTCAATGGTGTTGAGTGGTTGTCACTGTGGCAGCTGAGACGTGAAATTGCCACAGGTTTACTGGGCTTCTGTTGCCCTGCTTCAGGTTGATCGTGGTTCTGAGATGGTGAGCAAATTCTTCTAAAAGCCTGTGACAGGCAGGGCTTTTGGAAATCAGGTGGAGAAACATTAGAGGGTGTACAACAGGATCTCTAGGTTCTGAGCAGAGGGAAATATTTCTTCCATGCAGTGACAAGGACCACATGTCTGCTGAATATATCATTATGTTTTCTATTGTTAAGGGAGTAAAATCTCCCAAGTAAAATCTCTCAGTTCTTATATTTCTGGTTCACTTTTGTATTGCGTATGAGGCAAGAAATATATTTTTCAGTAAACACTTAATGAATTCAATGAAATCTGCTGGTGCATGCAGGTCCGATAAGTGTTCCCTTGATACTTGCAGAGTGACTATAGTCACATGGCCATAGCATTCAGATCACATGGTGAGTGACCACAGAGTCCTTCTATGGTCAACAAGGATAAACAGTGTCACATCTCTGGACATTGTATCCAGAGCTTGAATTCGTTCCTATTTAACAATTTCAG